TCTTCCATCTTATTGGCATGTTGGGTTTGGTCCTTTCCTTGTTCTTGTCTCGGTTTGTGTTCTTGTCCTGGCTCCTTCTCTCTCCTGTCATTCTATTTCCCTTCGGTCCCCTATATCCTGCTCCATAAGTTTTTCCTCTGATGTCTGTTCTTCCTGACTCTTATTTTCTGCTTCCTCTCTACTCTACTCGTCAATACGGAATTTTTTTTCCTGCCAGGTTATTAGCATCCCCTCAGGAATAAGCCATCTAAACATCACTCTGTATTTGAGCAGTTGGGTCGATAGGAAATGGTAGTTTCTTCTCTGTTCCCTTATCCGTTTTGGTATCTGTTTTAATGTTATGATTTCTTTTTCCTTATAGAACAAAGACTCTTCTCTTGTTTTGCTGTAGACTTTATCTCTTGTCTTTTTTCTTGTAAATCTTACATGTATCTCTCTTGGAAGTTTATGTGTACTTGCACAGTTTGTGTGGACCCTATATACATCATCCAAGTCATTTTCCACTTCCTGCTTGCTTTTTTGCAGATGTTCAGCCAAGAGCTTGGTCCCCAGACTTGCCTAAGATGTTTGGCCGCCGGCAAGCACAGGTGCGGAGGTAGGGACGGCGGGGGGAACTTACGTGGTGCAGCTGGCTTCTTTGACAAATTTGGGGACCTTGCAAGGCATATGTAAGGTCCCTGGACCTGCCTAAGATGCCTAGCCGCTGGCAAGCACGGGTGCGGGGGTGAGGACGGCGGCGGGAGCTTGCCTCCTAGGTGCCGGCCATGCCTCACAAACTACTGCCCGTCGCCCCGTGCTCAGCAAAGCAAGTCTGAGGAGGGGAGGTCTGGCCGTCAGCAAAAGACTTCTGCCGAGGCAGCCTGGGTGGGCGTAAGAGCGAGCGAGCGATGGAGGATCAGCCTGATCCTCGTGATCTGGCAGCTGCAGCAGTGTCATCAAGACGAAGTGGGAGCGAAGGGAGGCGAAGGGGCCTCGGTGCCCTGCCTGATCCTCCATCACTCGCTCACTCTTTTGCCCGCCCAGGCCGCCTTGGCGCTACTCTGGCTACCTCCGTCCACCTGCACCTGGCAGCTGCGGCAATGTCATCAAGATGAAGTGGGAGTGAAGGGACCTCAGTGCCCTGCCTGAATCAGGCAGGGCACCGAGGCCCCTTCACCTCACTTCGTGACTCAGACGAAGCGGAGGCAGGGCCCTCTCTCCTGGCCAGGCTCTTCCCTCTCGCTCTTCATCT